CGCGATCTGAACATCCCAAGGACAAAAAATGGCGGCTATTCCAAACCCACCGCTCCGCAATCTGATGGCCTAGTATAGATTCAGGTTCATATGGTACACGTGCACGCTGGGAAGCGACAGAAAGCATGCCGTGCCATCACCCGCTGCATGGCACGCAAGCGATCGATAGCAAAACAGGTGGTATTTAGTTGATTGATCGAGCGGAGAATGAAACGCTTGGCACCACCAGAGCTGCATGCCGGTAGGCTTCCGAAAGTTGCAAAATAGAATCAACCATATACATTGGTGCTGGAGCACTGTCTTATTAGAAGTAGGTGAGTCTCGCAGATCTATAACACTTGCATCAACATACTGACTAATGAAAACTGAGAGCAACCTGGAGCGTTTGAAATTGCTGAGAAATTCGAACGACTCTCTATTTACTAAGCATTTGGATCAGAGGCTCAACCACCAAGCTACTGGTCACATCCTGTCGGATGCAATCAGCAATATTGTAGATCACATGAGAATGGCACTCTCTCTCCTCGCCGATGGGCAAATTACTGCCATTCTGCATTCTTAAGCAGCCGTCTGCTAGGTTGGAGTTTTAAGGCGCAGTTTGATGCCACGTACTCAGTCCTATATTGCGTAGTAGGTTATTGTGTAAACTCGTACTTAAATGTCTAATAATCGGTAGGAAGTTTGACAATGCTATTGTTCAGAAAAGGCTTTCAACGTAGCCATCTAACACTACTCCTCAGCTGTTGCAACTACTGAAGCTCAAAGCAAACAAATAAAATTGCTGTACATCCTGTGCGAGGCCAGTAGACCCCCGTAACCTAATCGATGAACGCTCTTCGTACAAGAGGGAATATTTTCAATCACAACCGTGATGACAGGGGGTTCGTGGCAGAGAGCTGGACTACTTAAAGCTCAGTGACCAGAGAACATGGGTCAGAACCCAGGGGTCATCCAGACCTCGGGGTGTGAATGGTTGGCTGACGATGGCTAATAGTAAAAGGGGGGCGTAGAGTGACATAAGTTTAGGCATCCAATCAGCAGTAAGTAAGGGGGAGAGGCGTTCAGAGATCAATAGGTCAGATTCTGGTCAGATCAGGTGGCCGGATAAGGGGCAAAGGGGGGATAATTAGTTCATGTCGTCGCTGTCTCGCGACTTGATAGGAGGTGTGAGGCGCATGCTAAGTTGGTCTTCGGCCAAGGGAGCTTTGCGTCTGTATTGACGCCTTCTGTGAGCATAAAACCCGGATAGGTTAGCCATACGGCGACTGCTTCTGCCGTCGTAAGTATCCCCTGACACAGGAATCTGGAGTGTTTCTTTGGCACTTTATAAATGGCTCAGGAGGCTTGTTTAAAGTCTAGCCGGTGACCGCTGTCAGCCAAGTGAGTCAAAATCGCGCTAGATATGGACTTAACCACGCCTCTTGTACTAATTTTTACTTGTTACGGCTGTGATCATGCCTGGTCTAGCCGGCCTCAATGATGTCAC